GATAAATTAACTTATAAAATGTGAAAAATGTCTTGTTAAAAGTGAAATACTCTGCCAATGTAACTCATACTTTTTCATCAATATTAAGGAATTATTTACATAAAACAAGTCTATAAATCTTGCTGAAAAGTTTCTTTTAAATTAGTTTGTCTTATTTAAAGTGTAATAAGATATTTGCACAAGAAAGTAGACCAAAATTATTTGGTAAGATTTTGTGATAAACTACAACTACTTCCTGATAATAACGTAGTAATTATTACAAACAGTGTACAAACTTCCATGTAGCTTCAAATTGAAACATTTTGAAGCTCCAGTTAGTGATTTATGTCGGCGATTATCCTTTGAGGTCTTAAAGGTGAGCTGGAACAGGTACTTCTAAAACATGTGGGACCTGGGAACTACTGGCGCCATCTAGTGGGGTATTTATGTGCAATCAAACTTTTATTCATCTTTAACTTGTTAGAAAATGTTTCTTTTTCCTCCATAAACACAGATTGTTCTTCACCAAACAACAGAATCTGATACAGAAGTCTCTCTGGACGACCCAGAAACCCAAATCAGGATCTCCTGCTTCTGGTTTTCAGCAGTTTGACCCGGAGGGGGACGGAGACGCGCTTGTGCGTAGGGCCGTTCTACGTTGCCATGGTAACAGCATAAAAACAGCTCGGCTAAACCTGTGTAGCTTCTGGGGGAAGGATGAACTGCGCCTAAAGTATCCGGCTGGAGGTTTGTTGTCGAGGATATTTCACCACCGCTGAGGTAATTCAGCTGTAAACTAATGGATGACGGTCCTGAGTTAAGCTTACAGGTTTTAATTGGACCGGACCGAACGGAAAGCTAACGATCGGAGTTGGTTGGGCTCACAACATTGTCAAAGTCTACAAGCTAATCCAGGTCTACTTCCGCTTCTGCTTCAAAATAAAACCATGAAATCTAAAGCTAATTGATTACCATGAAAATCCTGTTTCAGTTAATTTTTGTCAGTTAATTTTTTTCAGATGTTTTTCTAACATATTTAATTTGTTTTGGGCAGCAGAAGTGAAGTAATGTTTGTCACCAGGTTTCTGCTGAATGATTTTTCATTCTTTTATGTCAGCATCAAACTATCTGTTGAAGATGTAACACTTCTTCTTACCACGTATTTTTGGTCTATTTTCTAGAAAAGATATTAGACAACAAATCTAACTTACAAGAAACTTATTGACAAGATGCTTTTGAAGTCAGTAGTTATTTAATATTGATGAATAAGTACAAGTTCAACTGGCAGATTATTTAACTTGTAGTGTAGAAAAAATGTCTTGTCAGAAGTGAAATCATCTGCCAGTGGAACTTGTACTTTTTAAAAATTGATATTCATTAATTATTTATTTAAAACAGGCTCATATATCTTGTTAAAAAGCTACTTTCAAGGTAGTTTTGTTTTATTTCAAGTCCACCAAGATATTTGCACTAGAAACTAGATCAAAATACTTGGTAAGAAGAAATGTTTTGCAGTGTATTGTTGTGCAAAAGAGCCACTCTAAGAACTGAACTGAGGTTTCATTAGTAAAACATAACCATAAGTATAAATACTTTATGCAGTTTACAGTAGAAATACTTCTACTATGCATATTAGGGCCATTGCAAGAAAAAATGAACATTTCTGACAAAAACTCAAAAGTTTTGACTTTTGAAACTCAGAAATTTTTATGTTTTTTATAGGATATTTCTGAGACAAATTTTAGATTTCCTGAGTTTCTTCTAGGAAATGTTTGACTTTCCAAGCTCAGAAATTTACAGTTTTGTTTTTAAGAAAATAGCTGAGATTAAACAGTTCTGAGTCTTTTGGTGGAAAATGGCCCTAACAATGTTGTGCCAGAGAGCCTGCACCCCTTGGAAAAGCAGAAAATCTTTCCATTTAAAGCATTTAAATGAACATATTTTTAATTCACACTAAGAAACTTATTGAAATACGTTAGTGTGAAAATAAATGTTTCTCAGAACATTGTTAGTTCAAATTTTTTTATAAATTTATATAAAATCAAGTGTTTTTATTAAGAAGTTTATATATTAATAATAACAATGTGTATTGTGGTTAAATCTAAATTATCCCTGTATGGAACAGATTTTAGTACACCAAACCCTTTTGAACAAAATCTTTTATTTTGAAAATGAATGCCTGGCACCGGAAGATAATCACCTGAAACAGCGATAGCTTAGCATGCTATCTTTAGCCGCGTTTCCTCTGAGTTCATCACTTCATTCATCAACATGTTCTGCTCTTATTGATACTTTACAGTAAATATTTCTCAGTTGCCGCAGACTGGGGACCATCTTTATGAAACTCTTTATGAGAACCTGCAGGTTGACACCGGTGTCGGCAGCTGCCATTTAAACCCGGTTCTGTTGGATCTCCGCAGGTTCGGAGCCAGTCAGAATGTCCAGTGACCTCGCTGGTGTGTGGGAGGTGGCGCTGAGCGACGGAGTCCACAGGATCGAGTTTGAACATGGGACAACCACCGGGAAAAGAGTCATCTATGTGGACGGAAAGGTCAGCACAACCAGTTCAGTCTCTAATGAAGGAACTGGTCCCAGTTTACAGTTCCTGCCTGCTTGGTTCTCATTTATGTACTGATATCTGTGGTGGGCCTACTTTTACTTTTGTTCTTAAAAGTACTGATGCACCGATGTGAAAATTTAGGCCTGAAAAAGTAATTTAGGGGAATCTAAGTGCGCTAAGCGTTTTCAAAGTTAGCAAAAAATGCTGAAATGAAAATTTAGCTCCGCTATGTATAGTTCTCACGTGACGTCACACTTCGGGAACTTTGTAGCTGACAGCCATCTTGGTAGGTATCCAAACTGTCTGACAGTTGCTATGGAGTTGCTATCATAATTGGGTAACAACCAGTTACATTTACTTGAGTAACTTTTTTGAAAAAAGTTTTCGTTAAAGTTTCATAAGTTTTTTTATCGAAAGAAATTGATTTGGGAAAATTTGATTTTGCCTGATTTTGTTATTTTTATTGTTACTTATAAAATAGTAATTTTTGTCCTTGAAATGGCAAAATTTCCATTTAACTTCATATATTGGTCCATCTGATGGTGTAATATTTAAATATTAAATAATTGGTAATTTGATCAGTTACTTGGTACTTTTTACCAAATACTTTTTATTTTTACTTAAGTAAAAATGTGTTGAAGTAGTGCTACTCTTAAAGGAGTAAAATCTTTGGGAACAATATGCACCTATGGTTGCTATGACAACAATAAACAACCCACATTCTCTGTCTGATACGAGTCGATCCCAACAGCAGACATTTCGTTGATATATCGTTCTCTTGCATATTGGTAAAACATGTCAATATATTTTCTTTTTGTTGGACTTCAATTCATGATTCGTTTATACTTTGTGCTGATTTGCCTATTTTCCAGGAGGTTCTGAGGCGGGACTGGATGTTCAAACTGGTCGGGAAGGAGACGTTCAGCGTGGGCCAAGCGGACACCAAAGCCACCATCAACATCGACGCGGTCAGCGGCTTCGCCTACGAATACACGCTGGAGATCAACGGGAAGAGCTTGAAGCAGTACATGGAGAACAGGTCAAAGGTCACCAGCACCTGGCTGCTCAACCTGGACGGCATCGACTGCAGGGTGGTTCTGGGTGAGCTCAGTTCCACCTCTTCTTATGTCTGAGTCAGAGGTTGTGCTAAATTGACTGTGGTGTTTTTGCAGTGCGTTCTGCAAAAACACCAAATCTTATCAAGTATTTTGTCTAGTTTCTAATGCAAACATCTTAGTAAATTTGATATAAAACAAAACTAACTCACAAGTAATTTTTAGCAAAATAATAAGAGCTCGTTTAAGTCAATAATTCCTTAATATAAGAATAACTTGTTCCACTGGCAGATGAATTCACAAGACATTTTGTTTTGTTATAAATTAAATAATCTTTCTTTTAAATCATCTTTCCATCCTTAAGGAATTATTGACATAAACAAGCTCCTATGTCTTGATGAAAAGTTACTTGTAAGTTAGTTTTGTGTTCATTAAGGCCTACAGCATAGTGGATAAAAGTATTTTTTATCCCCTAAAAGTAATTCCAGTAAATGTAACTAGTTACTTCCCTGCTCTGGTAATTATTATTATTGATCTGATATTGAGAGCGTTTTGACTTCTGCTCCTCAGAGCTGCGCTCTCACATTAATGCTGAAGCTAATCTGTTTATCGGCTTTAAGCTCCACCTCTCCTGACTGCACAGGTTAATCCCTTTCATAATCCCTCTGCTTGCAGCTCATCAGGTGATGCTCTGCAGTAATCCTTACATAACATTTAAAATAGGAGAAACGTGCTGCTTTTCTCTAACTACACAGAAACCAAGAGAAAGTGTCAATAAGTTGTTAGCTGCTTTTGCTTCATTTGAAACGGTTAAATCATAGTTACACATATTAGATCATTAGTTCCTGTTCCACTGGCAGGTTGTTTCACCTTTAACAAGACATTTTTCTTCTGTTATGCTACATGTCAATATTGATGAAAATAAAAGCGAAACCAGATGGAGGCAGACATATTTGCTGCTGCGGCCTCAGCAGACATTTTTATTTCTGTAAAAATAAATCAGGTTTTCAGATGAAAAAACTGTGAACAGGTTTCTGAAGTCCTGATTTACTGACCTGACTGAGTAAAATAATAAAATCAGAAACCTGTTAAACTCCTCTGACCTCTCAGACAGTCGGTGAGTTCCTGAATGTTTTCACTGTTTTCACTTCCAGAGAAAGACACCATGGATGTTTGGTGCAATGGAGAGAAGATTGAGACTGCTGTAAGTATTTTTTTAATTAATCAAACAATAATCCATCACATGTAATAGAGTTTTATGTTTTCTCTGCAAAATATTCTTTTATCAATCAAATCAAAGCTGTTTTTATGTGTTTACCGCCAAATTACATCAATCAGTCCCTCCAGTTCTGCATGGATATTCACTCAAGATCAACAGATTCCTGTACTTTTTCATGCTAATGCATAATTATTTTATTGTAAATTTTCCTCAAAAATGGTCAAAAACATTAGATATGTGATGCTAACTCCCACCTGCAGGTGGCAGTATAACTACACTGGTGCTTCAGCCTTAGTTGACGTCAAGTTGTAGTCTGTGGTGGATGTAATGAGCAACAAAAAGTCACATTTAATGTCATACATAAAAGCAAATTTACAGCAAATATGTCTAAATTAGCTCAGCAAATCAGTTTCACTGCAAAAAGTCAAAATAATTTAAAATTTTGGAGCAACTGATCAGTATGGGAGAAGATTAGGGCCACTGGAAAAAAAATAATAATCTTGAATTCAAGTCAGAATTCTGCACAAAAAAAATCTGAATTTTTAGAAAAAATTCTGAATTCTGAAGGGGAAAAAAAGAATGTCGAGAAAAGTCGAAATTCTGATTTAAAAAAGTCAGAATTCTGAGGAAGTCAGATTTTTTTTTCTTAGAAAAAGTCAAAATTATGAGGAATAAGCCAGAATTTTGATGGAAAAGTCAGAATTTTAGATTAAATTCAGAATTTCAAGAAAAGTCAGAATTTTGAGAGTTTTTTCAATGGCCCTAATCCTTTTCCAATGGATCAATCTTAAAATTGTAGGAACTTATCGAATGCGGAAGAGCTACTTCTTTATGTTTTAGCGGCTTAATGGGTTTTATCAGGACATTCTGGCCCAACCTGACGCTGCGATCTGCGTCCGCAGGGCGAGTTCGTGGACGACGGCACGGAGACGCATTTCTCCCTGGGAGGCCACAGCTGCTGCGTGAAAGCCGTGAGCAGCGGGAAGCGGCGAGACGGCATCATTCACACGCTGCTGGTGGACGGCACCGAGGTCGCCGAGTGCACCGAGTGACCGGGTTCGGCCCGGAGTCGGTCTGTCGGACTGGAAAATGGCTGCCGCGGCGCGGCCGGTCCACACTGGACAGATATAAGCGCCATAGAGTCTGTTTAGTGGCAGACGGAGCTGCTAGAAACGTCAGTCAGAAGATTCAGCGTCTCTAAAGGTTTACATTCATATTAATGAGGTTTTTTAGTCTTAAAATGTAATTTATAAGTTAGAAACGGTTCTGCTTCAGCTTTCCTGGTGGAAACCAGGAACCTTCTCTGTGGTTTCATGTTGTGAGTTATTATGTGCTTTATTTATCGGACCAATCAGCTGCTGTAGAAGAAGGACTCAAGGCTCCATTTCCTGCTGATCGTTTCAGACAATCATACTGACTAGTTACACTGCAAAAACAGAAAATGATACCAGCTAGTTTACTGAGCTAGTTTCTAGTGCCAGTATCCAAGATATCGTTTTAGGGCCTTTGTCAAAATAAAAAAAATAAGTAAATGGTAAATTTGTGAGGAAAAGCATTTTTCCCATCCTGTAAGTTATAATAATATCATGCCGTAATACGTTATGCCATCGTACCCTTGAAGTTGGGAGAATTATTATAGTAATATATTTATAGCTTATGTCTATAAATTATAAAAATTATAATCTGGGAAAAACATCTTGTTCCACTTATAACTTGTACTTTTAAGAATGATTGACTTGAAACAAGCTCCTATTTCTTTCCAAACAGTTATTTGTAAGTTAGTTTTCTTATTTTAAATTATTTGTAGTAGAAACGAATCAGAAATCCTTGGCAGGATTTTGTGTTTTTGCAGTGCAGGCTGTAGAAACCTTCATGTAGAGCTGCTGTAATCTCTCCTGTTACTCTGTGTAGACTTCCTGTTTGTCCTTAGAGAACTGTGAAACTTTTGTTGTGGCTGTACAAACTTTTAGTTTAAATTTCTCTTTGTATTTGTAGAGACACTCAGTCAGAGCTCTTTCTTTTTAGTCAGTACTGTCTGGATGTTAGTCGTGGTTCTTGGAGGAAAGACGCCAGTAAAAGCCTTCGCTGATGGAAGCGGTCTAGTTAAAGGCCACATCCTGTGTTTTCTGATGTTACAAACTGTATTTATAAAGCAGATTTCATGCACAAAAACCTCAAAGCGTTAATAAAAGTACAAATTCAGACAAAAAAAAAAGTTTCTCGCATAAAAGATGGTGATAAAATTTACAAATGAAACCAGAAATTTACACACATTCATTTTTCCCTCTGAAGTTAAATCAGACCAAACTAGTTTGAGGTCAGTTAGAATCACCAAAATTATTTCCAATTGGTAAATATGACAACAATGAGAGAGAGAATGTGTCAGATGTATTTAAAGATGCCTTCTGGGGAACATTTTATTTGAACTGGATGAATCGGGTCAAGCTTCTGGTTTGCTGGAGTTCTGGTCCGTTCCTCCTGACAGAACCGATGTAACTGGGTCAGGTTTGTACGCCGCCTCACATCGACTCTGTTGAGTCACGTTGTACTTTTAAGGTTATTTTTCCTGCTTTTTCCTGATGATGCCGCCTTTAGGAAGTGGCACCAGTTCCTCCTGCATGCAGACAGCCCCACACCATGATACTGCCACCGCAGATGGGATGGTACAAGCATCCCTGTTCTTCCTCCAGATGGTCGTTATGTCCAGATAGTTCCACTTTTCCTTCATCATGTTTCCTGAAATGAATCTGCTCTCAGCCCGTGTTGCTGCCGGACAGGAAGCTTCTGGAGGCTCAGATGTTTCTGCTGAACATTTTCTGCTCAGCTTTTTACTGAACAAACAATAGTTTCACTTCACCGTTTTGTAATTATGTACAATTATGCTACATTCAATAAATAATGTAAATTATGCTAAACATAATTTTAAATAAGTCATAACACATGCCTTACCAGCTTCAGCAGGTCTTTGTTTTTTGTTTTGAGATTAATTCACACGTTTTGGACCAGAATGATGCTGAAATTTCCTCATTTGTTGGATTACAGGCAGCTGAGTTATTTTTTAATCTTCAGGTGTTCAGATTAACAAACTGGTCAGACTGATGTTGCTCTTTTCCAACTTCCTTTATTAAGATGTATTTACTTGCAGCAGCATTAGTACAATGTTTACATGTTCAGACACAAATTTAGACAAAGATCCCTTAGAAATATACAGCAGATATGCTGCAAGGCACGTAGCTTTTTATAGAGAATAGAAAGATTGATGCTGGATTTACAAAGTAAAGTCAAATAAACTGATGCATTTATTGGTTTGACCCCAAAATAATGTTTTTGATTTAACGTATTTAACACTTTTCATCAGCAAACAAATCACTATAAAACTTTTGTTCCTTTATAATTTGGTCATTTTGTCCCCAAACTGCAAAAAAGATTAAATAAATCATAAAATAATGATTCTAAACCAAAGATATTTTGATATATTTGAACAAGTTAAGAGAAAAACGGAAACCTTCATATTTTTACAAACATAGTTTTAAGATCTTTTTAAACTATCATTATCATCCCCCTTGGTGTTGAACGGTTATATACAAAGACATAATAACACTAACATATTTGTTCTGCTTATAATGTAGTGCCAAAATGCAAATCAAAGTTTCTAATACAACAAAAACTTTTTAGTTTCTGAGTCAGCATACAAGTTTATTTTTAAACTTCTTTCTCTGCAGCTTAAAGTGAATTTATAGAAAACTAGTTTACTTCTCTGGAGATTCTTTTTGATCAATTTTTCTGCAATCAGATTCTGATTTCAAACCAAAATGAGTAAAACTCCTTATATATAGGAAGAATGTGAAATCTTCTTGCAGGTGATGATGTATTTAGGCAAAGCCTGATAACCGCTGAAGATAACAGAGACGTCAGTTCCTCCAGACACGCTGTCATGGAGGATGTTGGAATCTTTTTCAACCGGAGGAGGAAGAATAAATCCTCGTTCACCTTTAGCCGACTTTCCCAGCAGGACTTCAGCCTCCACAAAGTACAGGTACTCCTCACCGTTCTCCCTCCACAGCTCCAACGCTGTTTTTATGTTGCGAGCGAAATAGATTCCCTCTCCATACTTTGGATCTGCAACCAGAAGGAGATTCATTGCACTGTTAATGTGTCGAATGTGAGCAGGCTAATTAGACACGGAGTTCTGCAGGGTTTTGTTCTCAGGATTCTTCAATTCAACAACAACATGATCCCAGTAGCTCAGATTACTGACATAGTTATTTTAAGTCATGTTGGTAACAATTAC